CGCTCACTGTATACCTACCCTCATCATTTAAAAAATTTTTAATTTTTAATTCCATCAAAATGCTATTTGTTCAATCCTCGAATATGGTTCGATAATCTGGAATCCGCATTACAAAATTCATGTTGGTAGGCTTGAAGCAATACAGTTAAAGTTTTTTAAATATATAAAATGGTTGCTGCCTTATTATGTACAAGATAATTACAATATTTCCTTAAATTATATGTCTCTTTCTACACTTGAAATTAGAAGAAGATATCAGGCTTTATGTTTTGTTTATAAACTTTTAAATAATTTGATCAATGATACTTCAATACTAAATTTAATTAATTTTCACGTTCCACCGTATAATAGTAGATCAAAGCAATTATTCAAAATTTCGTTTGCACACAATAATTATCTGTTTAATTCTCCTCTAAATGATCTTTTAAGAATTTGTAACATGTACAGTGTCAAGTTGGAGTTTTTTTATTTTAAATCCTTTAATAGTTTCAAGCGTTTTCTAAAAGTTTCGTTGAGTTAGTCATTTAGTATTCTTTAATTATGTTTATATGTGATTTGTTTTCTATTATAATTTTATCATTACTTAATGTAAAGCATATTACCGTTAATAAAGTTATTATTATTATTATTAAAAACAATAATTGATCGACTCATGCAGAATTAGTTCTATTGTTGCGTGTGTTTGAAGAGAAAATGGGAACACAAGGCGAATATCCCGGCTTTTGCATTGTGTGGACGAGCTTGGTGGTAATTATGTACGAATAGGTATGTAATTAGCGCTGGCAAAAGGGAATTCTGTGGTAAAGCTGACTTATGGCGAGATCGGTAATCAACAGTCACGTTTGCAACTGACAAACTTGAAATTTCCTCAAATGCATAAAAATTCTACTCTTCAATTTGTTGAAAGTAAGAGATCCATCATCTTTAAAAATGCATAAATGTATACGTTTTTGATGTGATGAAAATTGAGTTAAAATAAGTTTAAAAAAATGGAAACTTTATTTAATTAAATTTTTGATTCTGAATCAGATTGAGTGTTTTTTCTAGTTGAGATAAAATTTGCTCAGCGTGGGTTTTTTCCTTTGAGTGAGCATGAGAGTAAATTCAGTGTGCTTATCTGATAGTAGTAGTTGGATAACGAAACGTTAAATTTCGAGTAAATAAGAAAATATTTGGTCAAAGCAATGTTTAACCGTTTTAAGCAAATACTGTCCGTTTTGTTATATTTGAGGTTGAGGTTGAAAAACTAACATTTGATTCAATATCAGAGAAGCAATAACTTGACCAATAATAAGATTAGAAGAAAAATCACGCTTCGGTTTGTGTTTCGAGTCGTTGATGTTTCTCAATGAGCAGTTAAAGACATTTTAAATCAGTCTTGTTCTCACGCCAAACCGATAAAATTGGGAAATGTTTGAATTTATAACTTTCATACATCACAGGGGAGAAAAAGCTAATATTTCGAAGGAAGTTCGAACGACGAAGCGACAAAATCCGTGAACCGAATACTTATTTTTCAACGTCTTATTTAAACGTTTATTTACCTTGCCATTCGCAATTTCTCGTAAACGTCAATACTGTTAACGCATACTGATCTCGGATTTATGACACGACTCTCATGAAACTTTAACAACATTTTCTTAATTTCATTTGGAAGTAAGGAAAATTCCATTTACAATTAAAGGAACAAAAAATGTAACTCATCGGAAAATAGTCATATCTAAATTTAAAAAAAAAATATATCGAGTTCTGACAATGATATTTATTTAAAAGAAATAAATGACAATTAACTAAACTACTCCAAAAAATTAACGAAAAAATTTCCAAAATTTTTTGGTGATTTTTGAAAGGCTGTAACTCATCGAAAAATGGTCGTATCTGGATTAAAAAAAAAACATTTTGAAGCTTTAAGTTTTTAATTTTGAGATCTTTTGACAAATATTTTTTTTGTGCCACGGTAATAATAAATTTCTATGTTTTTGTTTATGACCACGGACGTGGAGACTTTTTTTAGTTAAGTCAATTTATAGGTCGGGTAACATGTTTTTCATTAATTATTTGGTAAAAATAAAAAAATTAAACAAGAGTTGTTTTTTGATTTTTTTTTTTGAAAATTTGTAAAAACATTACATAGGTACTGCTTAATTTTCGAAAAAAAAATTCAAAAAACAATACTGATTAATTTTTGAACAAAAAATTACAAATATTTTTCTGAATTTCTGTTTTCAAATTTAACTAATGCAAAATTGTAAGATAAGCTAAAAAAATGTTTTTCTCATCTTGGCGAAGATTAGGCGATGTTCAGAAACAATATGTACAATTGTTCCTTTAATTCTTTTGAAAAACTGTGATCAATCGGTCCCAAAAAAAAATTAGCAGGGCCTTGGAGGATACTTTGAGCTGTAAAAGCACCTAAAAACCCTAGTTTCTCCATCAATATTGGTGAATATGCGGTAGATTTACTAAAACAACGCAAAAACTTACTTTTTTCTCTTTTCTTTAATCCATGTTGAAGGTGAAAAAAAATTATTTTTCAAAAAATCATAAAAAGACATTTATTCCAGTTTTTGACACTACCCTTATATTCTCTGTGTGGTCATTGGTTGCTGAAATATCCACGATCAAAGACAAAAAGATCCTTTTTCATTTAAAATCTATCTCAGCGAAAAATTGATGTAAAGAGAATATGAAGAAAGCATATTCAAGGTAAACAAATATGCTATCCAGCCTAGGCATTGATTTAAGTAAAAAAAAATTGTATAATAACCGTAGCACAAAAAAAATATTTGCCAAAAGATCTCAAAACTAGAAACTTAAAGCTTCAAAATGGTGTTTTTAAATATAGATACGACCATTTTTCGATAAATTACAGCCTTTCAAAAATCACCAAAAATTTTTTGTTTCTTTAATTTTTTGGAGTAGTTTATTTCACGTTTTGTATAGAAAGAAACACTCTTGATATATTCTAAAGTATGTGCATGTTTTTCCTCTGAAAGTTTGTAAACCTGTCAGCACAAAAACCTAGGTATTACGAATTGAGTTCGCCGAGATGGGATTAGAAAATCGATGAAACTCCTTTAATTTTTTTTCCACGGCTTGACCTGTGACAATTTCCGGGAAATTCTCTGTTTAACAAACTTTCTTGCACTATAGCTCATTATTAGTAACTGGAACTGGTGTCTCAAAGACAAACTGTTTACGTGGTTTGAAAACCAAATCTGAATGGTCGCTTGTGTTTACTTAGTGTTAAGTTTGGAAAGTTTTAAGGCCTGTACTATGGAATAGCGCAAATTGTCTAACTTACAAACTTTGTCCCATTTCAATAAAAACATTGAGACAATTAAATGTTGCAACTGCAGGTAATTACTCAAACTAGGCCAGTGAATAATTCATCTTATTTGCGAAATTGGCCACCTGCTGAAATTCACGAAAATACAGGGTGTCCCAGCGAAACAAAAAAATAATTGAAACGGCAAAACGATTATCATTTTCGACATAATTTGGTAAGTTTTGCTCTGTTTTAGCCAAAAAAAATGTGCTGCTTAAAAAGTCAAAAACAGCACAATTTTTGTTGATTTTTTGACTGGTTTGGACAAAATTTTGCATTTCTGGCTGAAGACCTTTCTTAAACGCTTGAGAAAGTGAAGAATAGCATCATTTTTGATTTAATTGAGTGATTTTTTTTTCTTTAAAACGTTCAAAAAACAAAAATAGTATAACATGAATTAAAAAAACATTTTACTTAAAAAGGGTAAGTTGTATCGAAAAACGCAAAAAACTTGTTTTTTGTGAAAAACTATGGAATTTAGAATTTTGTTGTTGAATGTGACAAGAAACTTCAGCCAGACTACTTTTTATCTTAACCCCAGTTTAAAAAATATACCATTTTCAACTTAATTTGCTAATTTTTTGGCTATTTTGGGTGAAATTTTACTTGAAAAAGCAATAATAATGTTGTTTTCAACTCCTAATTTGGCTATTTTAGCAAAATTTTGTGAGAAAAAAACAGTTTTGACACAAAAACGTTTTTATTTGCTTGAAAATAGATGGAATTTTTTACCTAATTGCTTTTTGGGTATGTTTTGAACAAAAAATAGGAAAAAAAACCTTTTTCTATCTAATTAGGAGATTTCTCGGCTTCCTTGAGTAAAATGTTGCAAAGGAAAAGTGCAATTTTAACTAAAAATTCAAAAATAATGTCAATTTCGACCAAATTTGGTCATTTTTTGTCAAAATCTTTCAAAAAACAGCTTTTAACTCAAAAACTGTGATCTTTTTGTTTGTGAATGAAATTTTTCGAAAAAAGTAGATTTTTAGGTCACCAAACTAAATCCAGTAAAACAGACCAAAATAGAACAGTAATTTGAATCTAATTTAGTGATTCTGTGGCCTCTTTTGACAAAATTTTGCAAAAAAACAGAGGTTTTTAGCTCAAAACCCTGCTTTTGCTCTCAAAAATCTCAAAAGTAGGATAATTTTCGATCTAATTTGGTAATTTTTGAGCCTTTTTGTGCAAAATTTTTTACTAAGAAGGTTCAAAAATAATTGAACCGGTAAAAATATTATCATTTTCGACCTAATTTAGTCCAAAAATTGCACAATTTTTATTGATTTTTCGATTGGTTTGTACAAAATTTTGTCGCTTTTCGTTACAATATTTGGCGACACTTGATTGTAACAGTTTTTTATCATATTTTATTTGGTATAATGTTTTTTGTTTGTTAATAGAAACAAATTTTAATAAATGAAACCATTTCTTTTGTAAATATTTATTTACAAATTTCAATGTAAATCGGCCACCGAATGAGTAAAAAATCCTTCATTTCGGCCAATTCCAATTCAGTCCATTACCGACGGAATCACAATTGTATTCGACATTTAAGTCCTAATTTCTTAAGCACTTAGTTTGTCATTGTGAGCCTTTATCTTTCCGTTTTCTGGGAGTATATCTCATCAGAGGCAGCGTCGTTATGTTTTAGGTTTCATCAGGGTGCGGACCGGCGCAATGCACCCTCATAACATTCAGCCTGTTTCACCCTCAGTATCTTCGCGCTTTTAACCCCGTCCAAGTCGAAAGTGGAATTTGGTACGAAACACGCACGTTGAAAACACCCAAAAAGTGGATTGATTTAAATTTATTCATCATCTTGGTGAGTTTTAACTAAAATTATTCACCAAAATGGAATTTCGCCTCAAAGTTACATTTTTTTTTGATCTCACCAAAATGTGTTTGTTTTGTTGTTTTTTTCTAGAAAAACATTCGTTTTTTAGCCAATTAGTGGTATTTTCCATTATAAAAATTCGCGACACTTGGCTTAAAAGATTATACATTTTCGTTGCAAATCAAGAGAGTTTAGTTTAAAAATGCTAATCCGAGTTATTGGTGAAGTTTGAACACTTTACAGGGGTTACAAAGTTGCCATAATATGCGGTCAAAAGAAGTCTTGGAAAGTTTTAAAACTCTTTTATCCGGGCTAAAAATAATTATGTAATTTTTGTGCAATTTAAAATTTGCTGTTTGTTGTAGAAAATCAATTGTGTATTGTTATGTTAGCTTTTATCCAATTTCTGACTAATTGCAATTATTAATTACAGCATCCCAGTGCACCGAATTCGGATAGACAATGAATGGTTGCCATTAGTTATCCCCAGAAGACACTAACACTAATCAAATTTTGGGAGGACCTGTTTGCAACCGCTGTGATGAGCAATTTGGTGTTTTAGAGACAAAAATTTGTTTTTTTTAGACAATGTTGGCCAAGTTTTGGATACAGTGTTTGTGTAGTTTGGCAGTAATTGTGCAGTGTTCTTGGACAGCTGCCACAGTTAGTCAAAATACCATTCATGGTAAGTATATTACAAACAAGATTTAATCAAGCTTGAGAAAAGTTCAGACCTTTTCAGTATTTATGACCGAACCTGGTAAAATTCATTACAGAAAAACACCCCAAGTGTCAATAGCAATCGACCACAACTTATTTAATTAATTATCGAGGAAAATCGCTCGGATTCAAATCAAAATAGACAATTTTGCAGGAATTTATTTATTTCTCGTCAAAGTTGTAAACTCAAAATTAAGTAAGAGAACTGGCATTTAAATTAATTTCCGTTCTAGTCATTTGGAGTGAATCTCGACATAACTGTGACAGGGTTTAACGACGGCCCTAATTTAGTTGGAAACACTCATACCTAATGCAGGTGGCAAACTTTACACAATTAAAAAAAAACAAAAAATAATTTTTCTGTTTTTTTTCCTCCCTAACATATTCCTTAATGATTTTTTCTTTCAATTTCTTTTAAATTTCTCTGATTTTCTCATGCCTTTTTCTGAATTTTTCAAAATTGATTATTTTTTGTTTTCTGTGATTCCTTCCGATTTTTTCTGATTTTCACAGATTTCTCCTAGTTTTCTCAAATTTCCTCTAATTTCTCCTAAACTACTTTGATTTCCTAATGATTTCCTCTTGTAATTTACCAATTTTCTCATGATTTCTCCTGATTTCCATTGATTTTTCCTGATTCTTTTTGATGATATCTTAATTTTCTTGATTTTCTTTGATTCCTTATTGTTTTTTTCTGATTTCGTCTTATTTGCTCAGATTGCTTTATAATTTGGTCTAATTTCTTTCGGTTATCCCTTATGTCTCTTAAATTCCTCAGATTTTTTCTGTTTTTCTCAAGATTTCTTTTAATTTGCAAAGAAACGGATGATTTCCTTCGATTGTTTCTGGTTTTTCTTGATTGCTTAATAATTTTCTCCAATTTTTCTTAATTTTCTATAGATTTCCTCTAATTTCCTATGATTTTTTTGATTTCCTTTAATTTCTTTTAAATTCGTCTAATTTTCTTTGTTTTTCTCTAAGTTTCTAACATGTCTTTCTTAGAATGCCTTAAAATTTCCTAGTTTCTTTTAATTCTCTTTGGTTTTTTTGTTATTCATTCTGATTTTTTTCATATTCCTCCAAATTTCCTCTGATTTCTCATGATTTCTTCTAAATTCCTTTGATTTCTTCATGATTTCTTCTAATTTACCAATTTTCTCATGATTATTTCTAATTCTATAATAAATTTTTCCTGATTCTTTTTGATTCCCAAATGATATCTTCTGTATCGTCTTATTTTCTCTGATTTTTCTTGATTTTCTCAAGACTTTTTTACATTTGCCAAGAAATAAACGATTTTCCTAAATTTCTTTGATTTTTCCTTATTTTCTTTGGTTTACTAATGGTTATTCCTGATTTCGTCTTATTTTCTCCGGTATTTTCTGAATGTTTTATAATTTCATCTAATTTTCTTTGATTATCTCTTATGTCTCTTAAATCCCTCTACTTTTTTTTAATTTGCAAAGAAACGTATGTTTTCCCTTGGTTGTTTCTGATTTTTCTTGATTCCTTAATAATTTTCTCTAATTTTCTAAAGATTTCCTACAATTTTCTTTGATTTCATTTAATTTCTTTTAAATTTGTCTGATTTTTTCTAAGTTTCTCAAGATTTTTTTATTGTTATAGTTTTCTATGATTGTTTCTAATCTTTTAGTGATTTTTCTTTAGAAATTTTATTTTAAAAATCCTGTTTCCCATCCTAGACGAGTCGCAGATGCAAGTAACTTGGTATAGTTGCTATAGTAACATATACGTTACTATGGTAACAAAAATTAGAGTTTGTAATTTTGAGGTTGGTTAATTATTTTTGGACACTCTGTATAATGATCATTGGAGAGCAAATCGGTTTGAAAATCCCAGATCGCGTAATTTAAAGTACGTGCAGAATGGTGCAAGATTGGAAACGTTGTAACGTTTTGCTATTTAACATCCCAGAATTTCCGCATCTATTGTTGGGGTAAAAAAACACGACCTTAATCGAGTGCTTTCTATTCCATCTCCATTCAGTTCATTTCCTTAACTAAAAAATTTCTCCATTGGGATTAATAGGGCACGTAATGTTTACTTATAATAAAAATGATTCCAATTTGCTTGAGATAAAAAAAACGCGATGTTTTTAGGTTGTATATAGATTTTAACAACTTGTTTTTCAGTTAAAATCGCTGTTTGTTTTTGCCATGGCATCGTTTCTCTTAATGTTTATTTTCCTCTGACGTTGGATTTTGGCAAGAAAATTAACACAGTTCGAAAAAAGATTTATTCAACGAGCGATGTTCTGAGTTATGACGACAATACACGCGAGTTAAATACTTTTTTTCTCTCCCAATCGATAAAAATGCAGCGTATTTCTAACCTAGAGGGTGAGGCTAATCAAAGTTTCATTGTAACAGCTTGCATTCATCGTTTTGTAAAATAAACAAAGCAAGTGTTGGCCCTACTGCGAAAGATGTGTGTTAATATCATAAACACGCTCTCAATAACGAATTTACAAAGCAAATGTTACATCCCTTAATAAAGTCACACACACACAATATTGATTAAATTTACCCATGTTTAATGAAATTAGTTTTTGGTTTGTGTTAATCACGTGAAATTTAATATTTCATGATTTAGGGTTTTACAAATTTCAAAAAACAGGTGTAGAATTTTGTTTTTTGTAAAAGCTCTTAGTGAAAAAAAAAAAGAAAATGTTTTTCTGGGAAAGCATTAAACCCATTCTCTGTATGTTTTTATACAGCCTATCTTTTATACATCGATTTAGAGGTCGTCGATAAAGCCATCTGGACGAAATGTGAGATGTATTTCAAATATATCGGGTTTAAAAATAGGTCAATTCAATCAAAGAGAGAAAGCAGAACATTTTAATAAAAATGTAAGTTTGTTTATGAAAATTTTGCAAGTGTAATAGGATAGATATTTGTGGAGGGTGCTTTAGAAAATTATTGCAATTATGTGTATAACATGCCGGGAATTTACACAAAGTTTGCACAAAGTGCAGGCCAACGAAAGCTGTTGCCGTCTTAGAGGTTTAAATTCACTTCACTCTAGAAAATAACTTGCATGCAATTATGCTCCAGGTTTCATACAGTGTTCGGTCTAAACCCCACTTTAGAAGTATTGGGAGTTGGAATAATTGTATTTATTTGAAAATTTATACATAGTCATAAACCATTAAGTCCTCCTAAATGAAAATATTTTCAAAATGGCGGCACTTTCGCTTATACCGGAAGTCGGTCTCAACTTTCTTATTTTAAATGGAAAGGTATATTTTTTACTGCGTTTTTGGATCAATCGGGTTGTTTTAAGGGAGCTTTCATCAGCTTTCCCTATACCTAAATTTAGCCGTTTTTGAAATATTTGGAGTTTTTCAAAAATTTTTGGATTTGCACCTTCCACTTTAAAAACCGGTAACTCTGCCATTTTTTAAGATTTTAAATTAGTTTTTTTGGCGTTTGAAAGAGAAAGCTTAGATCCCGTTTCTGGTGTTTTCAAATTAAAAAAAAAAATATATCCCAAAATTTTAAGGTTACTTTTGTAATAATTCAAATACTCATAACTCAATTTTTTCAAATGAAATACCCCAATTTTTATTTTACTAAATAGAAGAGAATTTAATTGTGCATTGATCTGTATTAACATTCCCTATACCTAAATTTCATAATTTTCAAGTTATGGACTTTTTTTAAGACTACAGAAAATTTATTACTAGAGAATCAAAAATGTCAAAATTGTTTCTTAATAAACGTCGATAAGTGACTTATTATTTGACAAATAATACTTAACTTAATTATTATTGATAGGTTCTACCATGCAATCATTATGTAAAGCTAACAAGTAAGAAAAATTTATTTTTGTTTAATGAACGATATCATAATTTTGTTACACTCTCCATAAATACAAATAAATTAATTAAATCTAAGTTTGAGTAGCTTTGACTCTCCATATTTTGGCACTATTTGTCAAATAATAAGTCACTGTCGACATTTATTGAGAAACAATTTTGACATTTTGTATTTCCATAGCAAACTATACGAAAACGAATGTGGCTAATAACAGATTTTTGGCAGTCTCAACAAAAAGTCACCATAACTTAAAAATTATTAAAGTTAGGTATAGGGAATGTTAATACAGATCGATGCAGAATTAAATTCTCCTCCATTTAGTATAATAAAAATTGGGGTATTTTATTTGAAAAAATTGAGTTATGGGTATTTGAATTATTACAAAAATAACCTTAAAATTTTATGGTTTGTTAATTTTTTTTCAAAATTTGAAAACACCGAAAGAAAGATCTAAACTTTCTCTTTCAAACGCCAGAAAAACGAATTCAAAATTTTAAAAAATAGCAGAGTTACCGATTTTTAAAGTGGAAGGTGTAGATCCAAAAATTTTTGAAAAACTCCTAATATTTCAAAAACGGCTAAATTTAGGTATAGGGAAGGCTGATGAAAACTCCCTTAAAATAACCAGATTAATCCAAAAACGCAATAAAAAATATACCTTTCCATTTAAAATAAGAAAGTTGAGTCCGACTTCCGCTATAATCGGAAGTGCCGCCATCTTGAAAATATTTTCATTTAGGAGGACTTAATGGTTTATGGCTATGTAGCAATTTTCAAATAAGTACGATTATTCCAGCTCCCAATACTTCTAAAGTGGGATTTAGACGAAACACCCTGTATATTGTGATAATTAAGCCGTCTTATTTCAAGAGTAAATTATCTGACATGAAGCAAAAATAAAGAGCAAAAGCCATAATTACAAATGATGTGTTATAAAAACGTACGATCTTTGAGAAAAGGAAAAGAAAACAGTGCTGTTTCTAAATTGGTAGTGTGAAAATGAAAACCAAATAAAACCCTAATAAAAAGAACGGACGTTGGTGAAAAACATGGACCATCGTTAAGCGTCCCTTTTTTGATCAATTTTCTTTCCTTGAATTTCCCACTTTGCAAACATCATAAA